AACAGCTTTTTCCCCTCCTAGGCTAGCACTGACAAGCAGTATCAGCCGCCTGTGTGTATCCATCACTTCAGTAACTGAATTAGCATAAAAGCTGTATTAAGCGATCATAACCGGTGGTGAAAGAAGTGGGTAGAGAAAGTAAAACACTGCCAAAGGGATGCAGAAAAACAGCTAGAAAAATCAGAAATTCATATTGTGACTGAAGAAACATCTTTACAGAGAGCAACATCTCTCAAGTGTTGTCTGGGAAGAGAGAAAAGCTGGTAGAAGGGACACATCAAAAGCAGTAAGGACCTAATACCACAAAGTGTTAGATATAAATAATCCTCACAGTCTGCTGGCAGTACAAATGCACAATCCCATTTCATTCATGTATTATTTGTAATTGGTTGTACAATAGGGCCCCAGGAATCCTCTTGTAAGCACTGAAGAACAAGAAGTAAGAGCTTAAGACCTGAGATTTTAATGATTTAAAGCATCAGGATAGAAAACCAGGCTTCAGTGCTTTACCCCAGGATTCCAGAAAAGTAACCACTATTTCCCTTCAGAAACCCATCAGAATAACATTAGCAGAAAAATTAATGTGATAATGACTCTCTGAATGGGTGAAAGTTAAGAGTGTGGAACCACATCTATTTTATGCCAAGAAGCTCATCCTGCAGCCAGGAAAAGCGGCCATGGCTGGGCCTGGCGGCACCGCAAGTGCCCATCGGGTGCAAAAAGAAAATGAGAGAGGGGAAATAAAAGAAGAAAATAGGTCTTGTAAATAAACAGGGGATTTCTCCCTCTCTGAAGCACTCTGAGGAGACATCCCCCCACCCCCCCACCACAGTCCTGCATCCAGCTCTGGGGCAACAGCACAGAGAACTTAGAAAGCCTGTACCTGATTTCAGTAAGCTCACAGTTTGCCCTGAGATGCTGCTTAACAAGATCGGCCAGCACTTGCACAAAGGCAGCTTGATGAAGCTACTCACAGCATTTGTAGGAGAAAGTGTCCCACAATTACACCGAGCCTCCCAGGTCTACTAACACGGATTTGGCAGAAAATGGTCCACCACTGTATCTCAGAAGGCAGAAAATCTCAGTATTCAAATGAAACAGTCTCTCTTGGCTGCTCATCTCAGCAGGTAACATGTCACCTTCTGCCAAATCAGTAAACAGAAGTACTTGCTTCCATCAGAGCTCAGTCTCAGTAAGACAGACATGGAAGCACTTAGCAAATAATGTCATGCCGGGACCACGAGTGCTTCATTAATTACTACAAAACTTGTTAAATGGTAGACTACGTTCTGAGCTGACAGCAGCAGCCGTGATCCCGTGGGCCCTCAGATCATGCTCAGCTCTCTCCAACAGACACCAACTACTACAAACCACTGACAGTGGAAAGGGTCACCCTTGCTGTTACACTCAAATCTACTATTATAAATCAGATTTCTATGTAGCAGGAGCTACTGAACTCCATACTGTAAAGCCCTTTATCTACTGCATCCTTTGAGAACCAGTGCTAAGAGTCACATGGCAATTTATGACTCTTCCTAAGCTTCCCTGGATTTCCAGTTTTCCTTCAGCAGCCTGCTTGCAGTGTAAATGCTCCATTAGGAAATGTTCTATTCTTTTATAATCTCTTCACCTCTCATAGCATCTTATATTCACAGCAGAGTTTACTGTCCCATTTGACACATATTCTGCTCTCTTTTTGTCATTACATTTCTCCCCATATGGAAAACTGATCAAACGTGCTGGACTTTATACACTTCAATGTATAAAACATGTAAATATGCTCCGAATACACCCAGAACCCACTCCACGGTCCATCTTAAGCCTCTCAAGTCTTCTCCGTTTGTACTGAGTGGATACGGCCAAGAAGAAAGAATATTTCAGAGCACACTCTTTACTGGGTACCTTTTCAGACAAGGCCTTTAAACTGTCCAGAAACCTCTGCCAGAAATACCTGAAGAGGGGCCGATCAATTCTCTTCAGGCTTTCCTTGGTGCTGGCATCCACGCTGACATACAGCTGCGTCACTGGCTCAAGGTTCCTTAGAAATAAAAACGAGAAGGCAATTGCTGTCTTCAGCCATCACTGCTAGCTGAATTTGTTTTCCTACCAAAGCACACATAAAATACAGGACTTCTAAACAAGCTCTGCTGCTCCAGTAGCGACAGGAACTATCCAGTGTTTACAAGGAAAACTATCCAAGTCCAGAGGTTCATCTCCATCAAGTGACTATCATCTTAATAGCAAGACATTATAACTTAACTTTCAACAAATACACCCCAAAGCTAAGAATATCACACACAGAGGCCTTGGCAGACGGTTCAATTATCTTTTCCTTACTCAACTAAAACATACATCACTCCAGCATTAGCTGTGGCACGCGCAGAAAGGCTTCCCAAAGCAGGCTGCCAGGGGTTACTACAAGGCACTGAAAGGCTCTGCTTCTCCCCATGGTTACAAACTATAAAGCTCAGCCCCTTCCCCACATTCTATTTGCTCTGGCTAATGGAGACATAATCCCATTCGAGAGAACTGCAGCCATCATTCAGCTGCTTTCTACTGCCGGACACACTGAACTCACCTGGCCTGCAGCTGCCATCACTCAAGTACTTTTTGGAAGGGAAATCAAAGCTGCTTAGAAAATGAAACCAAACACAATTCCCCAGCATGTTCTCCTTCCACTTCCAAGGCTCTTATCTTGTATAAATCCCGCACTCCAGTCTTTCTGGTCACAGAACGCCAGTGAGCACAGCATCTGTGAGCCCAACAGCAGAACCTTCTAAAAAGATTAAACCTCCTCTGAGAGTGTGAAGAGCCTGGGTAGAGTCTAATCCCTTCTGTAAACTCCAAGGGTATAAAGGAGAAGCAGCACCACTGCAGACCATTGGCAAACAGATAACGATGGACATTAAAAGGAACAACCTAAAACAACCTCCCTTGTCACAGACAAATCTGATCAAGCCAGTGAATGTAACACACCTCCACCCTTCATGGCATCTTCCGTGGAATGATGCATCCTAATTGTACCACGTATCTCTTCAGCTCTCCACGCTTTCAGGACATTTTGCAAGCGTTATTTGGGAAGTCTCTTAATGAACAGGCTGCTGTCCCAGCTTCATTTAGCTCTTTAGACAAGAAGAAATTAGAAACTATTGTTCAGCTGCCAACAGTGACACCTAAAAATACACCACCCTCTGCCCTCCCCAGAGGTGAGAAAGGGACAAGAAATTGTCCAGAATGAGACCAAGCATCCAGGAAAAGCCACTTAACATGGACACTCAAACAACCTCTCTGAACACATTCTGCCTGTATTTAGAAGCATGAAATAGCCCAGAACAAACGCAACATTTTAGGTTTTAATAAATAAAACCAACTGTTTTGCAAAGAAGCTTGTCTGGCCTTGCAGCCCAAAGCCACAACCTCAAAAATGATCAAGTGTTCTAGGAGTGAGTGGATTGAAGTATTCAGTTTCAAAGTACATGGCCAAAACACTCTTTTCTTTTCTTTCCATGGCCAAACGTTCATTCTGTGCTGACTGTGTTGCTGCGCAGCAGAGACCATGTTCTGGACTGATTGCATTCAAATGCTTTTCATGTGTGAAAGTGAGCAGTGAAAGCAATGATGGAGCCACCGATGCAATGGTGATTGTGTACTGAACAGGACCAGCACCAGCTTTCCCTGCTGGCCCTTCTGCTGTGGGAGCAGATGCCAAACGTTCGTGGTATACTCACTGTGCCAAAACACTCTTTTCTTTCCTTAATGCTGCATTTGCCCAATCAAAAGGGGCTCCAGGGAAAATGGAGCGAGTGTTTTCAAAACATGAGCTGAGAAAAGTCACCTCTTCTCCGAGGATCTCGATCCTCAGGACAGGCAAGAGCCAGACTCACTGTTGTACTGGAGAAAATTAAGGAATTGGAAGAGATCCCAGGGAGGGATTTCTGCCCCACGTTGCTCCAAAATGGAACGGTCCACAGGGTTCTGTTATGGCTCAAACTGGAGTGACGCTGACCTTGTGCATGTTCTGCCATAGGGGAACGAGGAGAAAGGGCACAAACTGATGCTCCTGGAACACAGCTACGTTTCATACTCAGCAGGAAATACTGTTGCATAGTACTAGGATGGATTTTCCAGCGTTCCTCCTACTTTATCGGTTGTCATTTCCAATCTAGCTGAGATCAAATTCACTGCATTACCACATCTGAACTCGGGTAGTGATTTCCGACTGAGTAGCACAGCACAACTCAAGAGCAATAAATTGCTCTCAGGCCTCCAGCCATGAGGGGGATTCCCCAGCCAGTCAGGAGACAGCCTGGGTCAAGGAGATAAAGAACAGAAACAGAGAAAGAGGACTCAAGCCAGTAACTGCTCAATACATGCTCATGTGCTATAAAACCTCCTGTGTGTGCCTGGAGACAGATGAAGCTGCACTCATAGAATCACAGAATCACAGACTGGTTTGGGTTGGAAGGGACCTTAAAGCTCATCCACTTCCAACCCCCTGCCATGGGTAGGGACATTTTCCACTAAAAGACCAGGTTGCTTCAAGCCCCGTCCAAACTGTCTTCTGCAGTTAGAACAAAGATCAGACTGCAAGAGAAGCTCACAAATGAAAAAGGCAATTTACAAGCCGAGACTCCTGCTCTGGCTCTCAGAAACACTTGCACTAGTTATCATCCATGTCCCCAAGCCCAATACGCAGCTCACTCGCTCTTCTTCCGCTGTACGTCCAGGAGGTACTATATTATATCCTCTTCCTTTTCAGAGGTAACCCCACTTTAAGAGATACAGAAAGGAAAAATCAAACTGGTAGAAAAAGGGATGAGAAAGAGCATGGGGAGACAAAGGTTAAAATCAAATAGATGCGATACTGAGTGGGCTTTTTCACTGTCAGCACAGAGCTGATTGATGAGCAATAAGTGGAATTAAAACACAAGTCTGCACTCAAATGTTTTAGTAGGGAGGTATTTTGTCCATCTCTTACCTAATCTCATCTGGGAACGGTGCATTTGTAACCAGGAAGGTAGAGATGCTGTGCTGGTGCAGGAGCCTCACAAACCGGTTGATCTCCGGGTACATGATGGGCTCTCCCACCAGTGACAGTGCGCACTGCTTTGCGGTCATTGCTTCCTCAAAGCGAGCTGCTTGTAATCCTGAGACGCCTGCAAATAGAGGGAAAAACAGGGTTCTGTTATGGCTCGAACTGGAGAAAAACAGGCTTAAATCAACTACCACCCCCACCCAAACCATGCATCTGTATCGAAAATAAACCCTGGCACAAGGAAGACAGAGCAAAACCAGCTGGAGCCCTCCTCAAGGGGAAGGGACAGCAGGGCACAGCCAGTGTCCATCAACCCACAGCACAGAGTATGCCCAGATACACGGAGCTTGGGATTTTGTGTGTCCTGTGAACTACTGCAAGTAATCTTCTAGTAATGTTTGAGTCAAGCTTTCCATTGCTATCACCTCAGTGAAGCTGCCTGGACGCTGAGACGGAAACACGGGAGAAAGTTTAATGCCACTTGACATAAGTGTCTTGAAAAGGAAAAGCAGGGTATGCCTGCTTCTGCTGCTGACCCACATGGTCCCAACAGCCCCAGAGGGAACAGCTCCCCAAGAAGCTGGGCACACTCCCCACACAAAGCACCAACAACCAGGTCCAAATCCATACTGGTGTCGTGGTTTAAACCCAGTCAGGTAATTCGTTCACTCACTTCCCCCCCCCCTTTCTTGCCCTCCCCCTGCTCTCGGAGGGATGGAGAGGAAAATTGAAAAGAATGCAACTCCCACGGGTTGAGATAAGAACAGTTTAGTAACTAAGGTATAACACAAATCACTACTGCTTCCACCAATTATAATAATGATAAAGGAAATAACAAGAGAATACAACACCTCACCACCAGCCGACCGATAACTCGCCCCCCCCAGCCCGACCAAGCTCCGACCGATACCTCCTCCAACCCTGCAGTCTCCCAGACCTTCCGGCTAACTCCCAGTTACCTCCTGAGCATGACGTGCTGTGGTATGGAATACCTCTTTGGTCAGTTTGGGTCAGGTGTCCTGTCTCTGCTTCCTCCTGGCTTCCCCTCCTCCCTGGCAGAGCATGAGGCTCACAAAGTCCTTGGCCAAACCAAAACATCCTATCAGCTCTGTTCCCGAGCTGAAAGTCAAAACATTGCACTGCACCAGCTACCAAGAAGGAGAAACATGACTGCTACTGCTGAACCCAGGACAACTGGCAACCACATGAAATGCAACTCCACAGAGGATGTATTCAAGAAGAAAACCCACCACGTGACACCATCCTGAACAGCAAGAGACGTTCCAAGAACAAAAAGAGGAAAACACCAGGAGCTCAACTGCAGCATCCATGTGAAAGTGCTGTCTGCAGGCTTAACCAACCTGAGCCACGTGTTGCGCCCATCAGAGGGCAGGGAAGAGGCAAATGCTCCTCCTGGAGTCCTCAGTACAGGAAAGACATGAACCTGCTGGAGAAGCTCCAGAAGAGAGCTCCCAAAATTATCAGAGGGCTGGAGCAGCTCTGCTCTGGAGACAGGCTGAGAGAGTTGGGCTTGTTCAACCTGGGGAAGGCTCCAGAGAGACCTTATTGCAGCCTTTCAGTTCTTAAAAGGGGCCTATAAGAAAGATGGGGAGAGACACTTTAGCAGGGCCTGCTGCGATAGGATGAGGGGTGATGAGTTTAAACTAAACAGGGAGATTCAGGCTGGATGCGAGGAAGAAATTTTGTACAATGAGGGTGGTAAAACCCTGGCACGGGTTGCCCAGAGAGGCGCTGGATGCTCCATCCCTGGAGACATTCAAGGCCAGGCGGGATGTGGTTCTGCCAGCCTGATCTAGTTGAAGATGCCCCTGCTCATTGCAGGGGGATTGGACAAGATGAGTTTTGAAGGTCCCTTCAAACCCAAACCATTTTGTGATCCTATACCAGACCACGTGTTCAGATATGAAATCAGCTGCCTACAAATAAGCTTTTGTTCTAAATATGTCCCTGCATGTTTCTTTGACATGCCTCAATGTATTCAGATAATATCAGAGGGTTTAGATGGGAGATTGGTCTGTTTTAAAGAAACCAAAGCCTTGAGTTTCAAACCAGGTCCTCAGCTCACCTTGTGTTGCCTAGAAGCTGGAGCTCAGGCAGTACAGAAAACTATAGGCTATGCTCCAAAGCCCAGATAAAAAGAAGTGTTGGTGGATATTGCTTCAGCCTCACATAGAAAAACTGGTCTGTGATAAGAGCAGAACTTGGTGCATGATAAAGCAGCCACACTCAGCCCTGAAGAAGTGACAGGACTAATGGTTAATGCTGCACAAACCTGACAGTACTAAATGAGACCTTCATTTGAAAGGAAAGCAGCATCTCAACCACACACTGAGATTAAAGGATAACTTTCCTTTTCCTAAAGCTACTTGAAGGTGGCTTTGAATTTAATTAATTTCTCTCCCTCAGCACCCTGCCACTGGACAATGACAATCACCCTGTGCCAGCTTTAGAAGCAGACAGAAAGTAATTCCAACAACATGTAAAGTTTGAGTCACTTTCTCAGAGCAGTTGACATCAAATGTAGCATAGGGGACATACACTGCGGAGAGGGCAGAGGTTTTGTAGGAATCATTTGACTACACAAATCACAAGATAGACAGGGATAAACTAAAAAAGGATTAGTGTGTATTCCAGGGAGTGTGTGAACTCCCCTGCACTTCGGGCTGCCATACCACTACAGCTGTCAACCTCTGCTCCTGCAGATGAGCGTCCTCCTGTCTTCAGTCAATGCACTTCAGCAAAGTCAGAGCCTGGGCAGATTTTGGAGGGCATGAAGCAGGCCCAAGGCAGTGCAGGAACTTGGAGCCATAGGAACATGAGTACCATCTACAAGAGGCCATGGTGTACAGCTTTCAGCTGCTGCTCAAGCTCAGTTCTCAGCAGAGCATGCAGCCATGCCTCCTTTGATCAGCACAGCTCCTCTGAAGAGCTGATCCCAGCTGCTCTCCTACTGGTGTGCTTTCATTTGGGGGAAAAAAGCAGCATCTGGCACATCTGCCTAGAGAGGCTGGTTGGTGACTTCGGGTACCAGCCATCACAAGTGACTGGGGAGACAAGGAACTGGTTTTACCCACTCTTACACCAACACACACAGGTAGCCTTAGGATTTCCTAGTTCAGGTCATGCATTTTTGTTTGGGTTTTCACTTTTCCCAAGTGGAACCAGGGCTGTATTATCAGACACTGCCCATCTCGTAACTTTTAATTACATTTCCATTCTGTGTGTGCCCTTCACAAGGGAACAGAGATTTACCAGCCACTACCTACAAAATGCATTCAACAAATAAACTGCTTCCCACTCTTCCACCTTAGCTCCCTATCAGCAAGATGTCTCCCCAGCCATTAGCCTAAAAGAATGATGTGATGTTAACCACCACCTTCAAAAACAGTGCACGCTTTGGCAACAATAAAGATAGCAACAATAAAGATGGCAACAAGAAAGATGGCAACAAGAAAGATGGCAACAAGAAAGATGGCAACTCTAAAAGCATGCACAGAAGTTCTTAACAGGACATAAGGCTACTCTCTAGGATATCCTACAGGACACATGGTCCCCAAGACTTCTATTCCTTCAAAGAAGATCTCAATTTTACTGCACTGCGTGGAATTAATCTTGGAATCCCAGACTGATTTGGTTAAAGCTCATTCAGTTCCAACCCCCTGCCACAGGCAGAGACACCTTCCACCAGAGGAGATTGCTCCAAGCCCCATCCAACCTGGCCTTGAACACTGCCAGGGATGGGACAGCCACAGCTTCTCTGGGCACCCTGTGCCAGCGCCTCAGCACCCTCACAGGGAAGAATTTGTGCCTAATCACTAATCTCAATCTACAAGAAATAACAAACTCACAAAGAGTTCCTATGGGAAGCAAAGTGCAGGACTTGGTGCTGTGTAACTGCTGCTTCGGTCACAAACAGATCTCCTCAATAATTCCTGAAAATAAAAGTGCTCATCCATTAATGAGAAAAACACAATCCCCAAGTTTCAGAGCGAACACAAAGCTCTCAGTGGATTAAGCTTGGGCAGTGTATTTCCTATCAGGTTACAGGGTGATTCCTTTTGCCTTCTGCCTGCCCACACTTTTCCATAAGAATCCACATTCCTCAGCACCCAGGCTAGCCTCAAGCACTGTGGAAGCCTCTGTGCACTCCAAATAAAATGATATGACAATTACCACGACCCACAAGAAGCAACTCCACACTAATCCCTTAAGGCAGCAGTAGACACCCAATGGCTGACTCATGTTCTAATGTCAAAACCAAGGCAGAACACCTCAGAAAACAAGGTGTGCCACAACAGTTTCTTCTCACCTCTTTCTCCTATGACGAATCTCATGCCTCCTTCCCAGCAATTCATAGAATTATAGAATTATTTAGGTTAGAAAAGCTCATCAATCCCAACCATCAATTCCACACTGCCAAGACCACCACTAAACCACACCCCTGAGTGTCACCTTTTTAAATGCCTCCAGGGATTTGCTTCGAAGATGCTGATGCTGCTTATCTTCCAAAAGCATCACTCACAGGGAAGAAATGGGAAAAGTTACCTTTGAACTGCTTGATCATATTCTGATGGTTCTCAATAGCCTCCTGCAAGATCATTTCAGGTTGGTCCATCTTCCATTGCCACTCTGTGCCCACTGGATTTGTATGATGTCTGAAGGAAAAGACAGACAGAGTTATGCACTGCCATTTGTAACACACATGGGAAGGACCCATCTGACACCTTAGGGACTTAGACACAGTTTAATAATATTAAAGGCAACAAGAAATTCTCAGTAATACCCTGCTTCTGACACAGCTTTCATATGTCGTCTCTGAACACCTAGGCTCTGGTTCCCCCAGAAGGAAGAATGGACCTCACAGTTTATATGAAACTTGATATACCTATCTTGAATCACAGGTAAAAGGTCTTTAAGCCAAAACGATGCTCTACAGCAAGAAAGACCTCTGCAAAGAAAGAAGAGGTTCTACCTCCATTTGAGACCACAGCTATACATATCACTAGAAAAGAAAGGTCCTAAGGCATTGAGCTGAGATGTTAAGCAGTTCTTCCCTGTGAGGCACTGGCACAGGGTGCCCAGAGAAGCTGTGGCTGCCCCATCCCTGGCAGTCTTCAAGGCCAGGCTGGAAGGGCTTGGAGCAATCTCCTCTAGCGGAAGGTGTCTCTGCCTGTGGCAGGGCGTTGGAACTGGACGAGCTTTAAGGTTCCTTCCAAGACAAACTATCTATGGGTTTACAATTTATGCCAAGCCTAAGGTGTACATAAAGCAAGCCTTGGGATGTGTCTCAAACTGAGCCTTAAGTCTTCCAACTCAACAGAGGTCCGAGAAGAGCAAACAGCTGCAGTCCATATGGAAGAAAAACAATTGCAGCCCGTTTCACAGGAGGTAAATAAATGAGAATATTTTTCAGCTCAGTCCCCTGCAAAGCTGTTTCACTCATACAGGTTGTTGCCATTAGTTAAAGAAGCATTCCAGCTTTCATTATCATTAGGGCTACTGTTTCCACATTTCCTCTTAAAAGTGACCAATGACAGTTAGGGGATGATGAGGCAGAGGCACCTGGAAGGTATCATGCATGGAGATTTATCCCAGCTACTCCACTGTTCAATTGACACTTGTCTGACTTCCTTGGTTCAGCCCCATACTCCAGACACAGGCTGCTGCTGCTGCCAAGTAATACCGAGTGGGTCATTTTGAGGGGAACAGTGTTAAATGGCCTGCAGTGCAACATCAGGAGCAAAATTCCTTGCTCTGACAACGTTATTGCTTTCTATTTGCTGTTTATGATGTACCTGCTGTGGAGGGACAGAGGGACAAAATGCATGGCAATCCTCTCCCTACCAGTCCAGTCACCACTGCAGAATTAAATGCACCACTGCTAGCTGATACATGAAAAAAAAGGAAGACAAAAGACACAAGCAGTACGTTTTCCTTCCCAGCCATTAAATTGCTCTGAAGAAAAGCAGCAAAAGTTGCACATTAAACTTGCTATTTGCTGTGTTTGTTCAAACCAGGATACGATCAAAGCCCATCAAAAGCCCCAATTAACATTTCAGAATACAAACTTCACAGGATGACCAGTGTCTAACGCTTACACCTAACACTAACATGGGACACAGCTTCTCCAAAACTGTCTCCAAAATTCTAGCAGTCCTTCTGCACTAATGCTGCCATTTCAATACCCTCATGAAGTATTTCCATTGTTAAAACTTGAGGACTATGAAACAGAAAAAGTGGGGTTCAGGAGGAATTTGCCTGGGATTGCATGCACACTCATTCTTTGGGATGGAATGGGTATTTCTGGCAACCAGGTCCCTGGGGAAGGCGTGAATACCAGAGGAAGCACAAGCCCCATCGTATGAGTTAGCTGGCAAGACAAAAGAGCTCAGAGAATAACCTCCACGTCCTCCCACTCAGCGCACTTTCACGTCACTGAGTTTGGTTTTGCTGAGTGTCTCTCACCAACCCCATCCTGCGCTCTCCCAGCCTGGCAAAACCCTTCCTTGGCAGCCCAGTGAGTGAGCACCGCTGGAGCTGCTCGCCGCTCCCATCCAGGCAGAGCTCATTGCCTTTAGAGAACTAACAAAGCCATTCCCCTAAGAAGAGGGGTCACTTTACTGACTAGAATGGAAAGTCATCTAGGAGAGACTGCTTTAGGAAGGCAACAGTTACCAAGTCATCACTTTTCACTCGCTGAGACTGCAGCTGAATTGGTGGGGATGAAGGTACCTGAAGTAAGAAAAACGGTCCAATTTCAAACCAAAGATACTCATGTTGCTTTGCACCTTGGTGGCTTTGCACAAGATGGGCCAGCCCATGCTCTCTAGAGCACCAGGAGCCACATGGAATCTCAGACAATGATCTCCAGAGGGAACCAAACCTCTACCAAGTGGGAATTGCAGAGCAGTACACGGAGAGGTGTGTGTCTCCTGCATCCCCAATTCCTCCTTCACTGGTTCTCAGCCAGTCTGACAGAGGACACAGCTCTAGGGAAGGTAGCACCTCCTCAGCCTCCCAGATGTGGAGCCCAGCCACCCAGCTCACATCTGACCATCCCACACCCATCCTCCTCGGCCTCGGAGCATCGACTAACAGCAGAGAAAGACACAAACAAATTCCAAGAACATTAAGCTGAGTGCAGAGCTTTAAATCTGCTCCCCCAGCACATCTGCAGTTTTCAGTCACTAAAAACCTGGGTGTCCAAAGTCACCTGGGACACACAGTGCAAGCAAGAGCACGTCGCAGAGCAGCTCAGAATGATGACAGATGCACCCTGGGGGAAGAAGTCCATAGCACACAGATCATGGAATCACGGACTGCTTTGGGTTGAAAGGGACCTTAAAGCTCATCCAGTTCCAAGCCCCTGCCAAAATGTGACAATGGTACCTTTCAATCTACCTTCCTCCACCTGAGGAGTCCTGGTGATCCAAAGGGAAGTCTTCACTGAGCAGTGGGGAAAGAACACGCAGGTGACCCCTGACAGATGCACAGCCTTGCTATGCAGTTGGAAAATTAAACAAAATGGGAAATGCTGCTTATTCCACCCATTCCTCAAACAACAGAGACTTCAGGAGATTCACAGATTCGAGGAGACCAAGGTCAGGTTGGACAGGGCTTGGAGGAACCTGCTCTAGTGGAAGGTGTCCCTGCCCATAGCGGGGAGTTGCAGCTGGATGAGCCTTAAGGTCCCTTCCAACCCAAACCACTCTACGATTCTATGAGATTCTGGATTTCGTCAAACAGGCAAATCAACACTCACCCTAAAATTTGCAGCTTTTAGGCTGTTTCCCAGCATATGACAGAACACAATCTTTTTAATCTGAGCTACCACTATGAAACTCAAAACTAATGCTTCCAGCCCCGCTCCTGCTTTCACCCCATACAAACCCCAAACAAACCTCCTGAAGATACTCACATATTGGTGTGAATCTGAGTCAAAGCCACTGCCTGTAACCAATGTCAGTGTCTAGAGCACTTGACATTCAATTCCTGCTTTAGCTCCTCACGCCCTGGGGATGCAGCCCAGCACACAGGAGGGTTCTGGGCTCAAGCACACACTGAAGCCAGGTCATGGGGAGCTTCTCGTCACCCAAATCCCCAAGTCCTTCTCCTCAGGGCTGCTCCATCCCATCCCCACTAGACTGTGGTCACAGTCCCACAACAACAGGTTCAAATGCCCTCGTGTGCCCATTCCAGGGGAATGACAGACTGCAGCATCTTTGTTTCAGGGACCTCACAGTGGTGATGAAACCTTCCCACTTCTGTGTGGTGTTCTGCTCCTGCTGTGTACCTCAGGAGGCAGGAGTTACTTTAGCAGACAGCAGAATAACAGGAAAAAAACAACAGAAAATTATATCCCCAGCTCTTGGCCACAGCCACATGCTCACTCTTCGCAGCAGGATTTTAATAGCTTGAAATGTAAAACTACAGCTTGGAAGATGAAATTTGGTTTCATTAATGTAATACTGCTTTTTTTAAACAATATTTCATTTGGAAATCGTACTACCTGAGTAAGTGTCTACTTTTTTAATTTCAATTTAGAAAGTGAAAGAAGAAAAGAGAGCATTTACCTTTGTCCATCGGCAGAGCTTCACCCCAGAATGGCTCCCAATCAGCTTGTAACCTGGAAACCAACAAAACAATAATCAAACTATTGATTGGAACCTGCAATAACTCAAACACAAAACATGCCAATTGGTACACCAAATTATTCAGCATCGCAGTCTCAGCACCGCTCTTTCCCATTGGCCCAAGGTGATGCTACCCAGTGCCCACTCACAGTATTTTCCATTTCCTTCTGGGAGCACAGGGGAGCAAAGGCCATGGCTGCCCAAAGGGCTTCAGACAACTTGGAACACTTTCTCCTCACCGCATATTTAGTTATATTGCTCTGTCTTGCTTGAATCAACAGAGGGTGGCCAGAAGACTTCTCCATGTGACAGGAAGGCAGACTAACAGGTCTAGCCTCTTAGCGGAACGTGGAACACCTCCCTGACCCCAGGGGGTTAGGATATGGGAAGGACCAGGACAGGGAACCAGAAGCGTCTCCCCCCATCCCTAAGCCATCATCCCAGAACAGACTGTTCCCCAGAACCACAGAGACCTAATTCCCACTGCTTCTTGGTAGGTCTGACCAGCCTGGAGGACATCTGATTCAGCAGGGAGGGCAGAAGCAATGAACCACAATGCAGGGCTCAGCTTGAACCCAGACTTCACAGGTTCACCAGTTCCACCTCCACTGCCCTTGAAGGAGCTGCAGAGAGGGAGCCGTTGCGTTATGCCCAGAGGAAAGCTGATTTCGCATCACTTCCCTGCTCCTCAACCAAGATCAATACAATTTCATTTCAACTTATTAGCCCAGGAAGATTAATTCCACAGCATTTGTTAAGCACTAAGCACTATTACTACCCAAACTGCTTGAGTTGGGCTCTTTTTCTCTTTGAAAAACGTGCCTAGGGACCAATATGTCTGAAGGATTAAAAGTCACTTCAAAAACCAGCATAAAAATAAGAGGGATTTGAGCAGCCTGACTGTGTCATCTGAAGGATTAAAAGTCACTTCAAAAACCAGCATAAAAATAAGAGGGATCTGAGCAGCCTGACTGTGTCATTCCCACTGCAGCACTTACACGTCGATGGCCTGGCTGTCCCCAAACCAGCACATCTCAACTGACAGCTTTAGGCTGACATTTATATTAACGCTTTCAAGAGAAAAATCGACTTCTAGGTATCAAGTCTCCTTCCTGCCAAGCAGCATGAAATTAACAGGGGAAAAAAGCCTTCTGCTCACCAGAACTGCCCATCATCTCCTACAGCAAGTAGCACAGTGAGCCTGCTCATATGTCACCATGTGTCTCTTGCATGGTGAGGTCCCAGGGGAGCGTGACTGCGCCCCAAAGTCCCCCACAGCTCCGAGGACACTAAGCCATGAACTACAGTGAGAGCTGCACCAGCTCAAAATTAAACTGTGTGAAGATGAAGATGTCTGCATGGCTGAGGACACTCCTGTCTCCTCACACTGGTTCTATCCTTGCAGGGGTTAGGACAGAGGCAATTTTAGCCTGACCAGTCCCCCGAAGCAACTCTCCAGGAGACTGTATGGACAGCACAGGGGGAGTGGCTGCAGGAGCAAGCAGTGGGGCTCCCCTGTTACATGGCAAAGGGGCCAACTGCCCCATTAAGCAGGGCTTTGGGGACATCAGTGTCAGGCTGCTCCTATGTCCTGAGATCCTTCTCCCCATCCAGCTCCGTGGGAATAGACAATATTCCAGCCTTTTCCTCCCTAAATGAATAAAGCCCTATACAGCATGGAAGAAAGAACTACTGCAAGCCAAAACCAGCCTTAGTATTCCATATGGCCCATCATTCAGTCCTCTCCTGGAGAAAGACATCAGCACTTCTAATAGGGAATTTATAGTCTCAAAAGCCAAATGCGACACTGGGGACACCTTTATCTATGACTGCATGAGACCCAGAAGACCCTGTGGCAACTTCTGACCGACACTACACTTGGAGGGACAGCCAAACACACAACTGCATTTGGCTGCATCACATCATCTCTCCCACCCGCAGTCTGTCCTACTTATTCCTTCAGCATATCTTTGCAAACAGGCTTGTCCAGCAAGGTCTAATCTCAGCTGAGACCTCCCTGTGCACCTCAAGTTTGTGTCCTCGCAGGATTTCTTGACAAGAAAACTTTGCCAAATGTGAAAAGGATGCTGCATTCCTGCTCCCTCTACTACAGCTGCCCAAAGCAGGCTCCTTGCTGATGGCAACCAGCACAGCCCCAGCCTTATTTGTTCACTTTTCAGAATCAGCAACAGCATTCATGTAAGATCATTCTCTCACAGATCTCTTGTCAGTAGAAGTAAGACGACTGCTTTAAAATGGGGTTTAGGTTAAAATTAAATTGGAAACAGGACATGCTCACCCAGATCTGCTACCCAGTTGTATGACGGAAGAGATGAAGCAGCTAAACTGAGCAAGGTGTCAAGCTCTTTAGTTACTTAAATCAACTTCCACCATGTGGAGAGCCCACAGCTTCCTCTGAAGGCCAAGAAAATTGGACCTATTCAATATCAAAACAGAGTCTTACAAACTTCAGCCAGCTTTAGTGACGAGAAGGGGTTTACTCATTTTGCTTGCTGCTGCCAGGAGTCTCAGCTATGGTTACAAGAAGAAACAGCACATACTTGCAGAACTTCAAAACCACTATGCAAAGCCGTTGAACTTGGGCCTTCACCATGGAGGTAACTGACAGAAAGGGTGGTGACCCTGCTAAGCCACCACAGTCAGCACTGGCCACCCCATGCGTCTTCAGACTTGGAAGTTAGATAAATTAAATCAATCAGAACAGTTGTTACACATCTGCTCTAAGGGAGCAGAGTCTCTCCAGCTCTGCAGAGCCTCTTTCTTCAAGCAGTTGCTTTACGGCTGGCTTGCAACACAGGCAGCCAGGGCAGTCTGGGCTCAAAGAAAGTACAAAGGTTGAAGTGAGATCAAGCAGTGCTAAGTTCCAAACCAAACATGTGAGGACGCGTGTCCAAGAATCAGTCTGAGGGCCTTCTCAGTTCTGTTTCCCCACTGCAGCTTCTGCTGAACAACCCTTGCGAAAGCTCAGGCCAGCTCATCTCTTCCACCACCTTTGCCACAACTTCACCGGGGCTCTGCCAAGGGAAATGATGGGGAAAAAAAAAAAATCAAACCTTACCAATGGTCCAGAACTCTGAACCTGCCAGGACTCCCCATGAACACGTTCACTTCTCTGCTCTTAAGGCATTACTCATAAGCAATCACTCTGAGTATTTGGATACAACACCCTCCAAACAATACAGACTGTTGTCTCCATGGGACTCTGCTCACCGTCCTGATGCACCTTCAGATATTAAGGCTGAACAAACACAATCCACTTATTGTTTCTAAAGCCCAATATTCAAAGGAATACTTAAATTATAAGCAGGCTGACAGTAATCAGCTCAAGTCCTGACTAAAGTCTTATCTAAGTCTGCATATTAGTTGATCCTGCTCTAGATGATAAACTCTGAATGACTTAGAAGTCTGCCAAGCTTCACCAAAGTTGTCATTTTATTTACTACAAGAAGACATGAATTAAGATTTTGGGTGAAGGGAGTGTTATCATGCAGTAACACTAAGCTGATAAACATTTGGTGATTGCTGGCCCTGACAATCCAACTGGACTTTAATAAGCCATGGGCAGATTTTGAACTGAAGAGACTGCCAGCACCACAGATGCTGACTGCTCCCTGGTATGGGGCAAAACATTTCTGTGACCATTGAAACTGCATCGCAGCATTTCAACTCTGTATTGGAAATAACAGTCCCTAAATACCAGTCCTTTAAAAGTCCTTTCACTGAAATTCAAAGAATTCATTGAGGGACCCTGTAGTACTCTCAGCCACAGAGGTAGGATACTGCCAACTACATACCCGTGTCGTGTTCCAGGCTATCCAAGGTACTCTGGTTTTGATCGCTTACCAGTACCATACCCATAGCATGTCCTTCTAAGCTCCTGAATACGTATGAATTTTGTGCATATGCGAGCTATTATGCTATTTTAGTTTTTCAAGCGGAACAGATAAGTCAAATTTCTACAAGTACAACTTGGGAACTGCTTTTGAGGACTGCTGACTATTTGATTGTGGCAAAATGTCCAGAAAGAAACCCAGAGACACTTTCCAGTTCAGATCTCTACATCACCAAAAGCTGCTTTACAGGCAAGCCTTTGAAAGCACAGAGCAAAAGATTTAATTATAAAAGAAGGAAGTAGAGGAGTGGTTAAAAAAAAATCCTCAAAGAGTACAAGAAAAGAGACTTACCCATCCTCCTCTAAGAGTGCAGTCACCATTAGCCTGGTGAAAGCCAGTCTGGTGTCACATTGTCTTCACAAACTCAAATGACTTTCAGAAGGCTTTTCCTCCAAGTAACACAGAGCTGGCAAATCAGTGTGGTTCTATCAAGCCATCGCCTTAAATAAAAGCTGCCTTGTTTGAAGCACTGATTATTTGTGGAAGCTGAAACTCGGTGCAGAAAGGGGAACTTCACACTAGGAGACTTTACAGGCAAAAAAAGATCCCAGTTTTCTGCAAGAATGCAGTTTAAAAGGGCCTGAGCTGAAGTCACTGACACACAGCAGTAACCCATCACCACTGATTTAAGGTGCATTTTGCAAGTGGTAGCACAACTCCTACACTAGAACCACCACCCAAAAGGCAGTGTTCTGCTAAAGCTAGAAAATTAGTAAGGAAAAGAAAACACGAAATACTGTTGTTGAAAGGAACCCGTTCAAACTATATCACTATTTTATACAAATATAGAAAGAAGTGGAATCTGGGCACTGGAATTTTTCAGATTGCCCAAGCATGATGGAGAAACACCCAGCTTCATTCCTAGCTCTGCTCAGACTTCAAGAAAATGCTTTTAAAAAGCACAAAAGCCTTGTGATTTGTGGAAGGACTTGCTTCCATTAACTCAAAGCGGGACAGAAGACATGAGACAAGACTGCAGTCAAAAACATTACAGCATTTCATTCTCCAAGTGGCCACTTCTACAGACCATAAGAAAAGCACAGTTTCATTCACTGCCCAAAACCAAACCAACACAGACG